TGCATAGCTGCAAAAAACGCATAAAAAATGGGAAAGACGCTAGTGACAGAAAAAATTTTGAATCTCCTTCGAGAGAGATGTCTGTACTGAAATAGCAAGTTACTCACAACACGGATTCCATCGAAAGTTCCTACGCCGAGTTCCTTGCAGCTTTTTGTGTGGTGATCGGGAATCGATAGCGTCTGTCCCTGGAAAAGTTTATGTTTGAAAATAACCATAAGCTAAAATATTCTTCGAAAAAAATTGAACATTTTTTGGAATTAGTGCATTTCCTGTGTCTTTATAAAGTACAGGGAACAAGGCCAAAAGTTCCTGGGTCCGACTCCGTCACTGGAAAAACCAAACCCTCTAAAATTCGGTCATTCGATGGCAAAGCGTTACTAGCAAACTCCAAGTAGTCAAGTACGCCATAAGTTTGTTTACAAAGAAGGACTGAACGCGAATGCCAATGACAACACTGCCACACTGCCATCTTTGGTATTTGCAACTCTCAAGATGCCCTGGCCTTTCATGAAGAGCGAATACGGCGAGAGTTTTGTCTTTTAACATTGAGAGGAAAACAGACAAGATTCACTGCTTGTTTTCCTATAAGGGACAAATGATTTGATAAGAAAAAAAAGCGGTGTGGAACTTACAAAGAGCCAGAGGAACTTGAGAATTCGTTTATGCGTTAAAATGAACAGCGGACTGCCATCATAGGGATCCATTACAGGCAAACGATGTATCCGATGCTTGCTGAGTAGTTGAGCTGCCTTCAGCAAACTAAACATGGCCAAGTACAGTTAAGCTTAAATGCCAGAAAAATTCTGAGCGACAATAAGAAATTTAAACTGCAAACAATTCTTCTTGGCAATAACTACTCCATCAGTAAAATGGTACCTTTCCTCTGCAGTTATTGAAACAAGTTCCATTAATTCACCTTCATTGCGTATCAAATCTAAAAGGCAGCATAAATTAACTCAACGGATTTTTCGAACATTCTAAAATAGCATCAGAGTTATCATTCGGGCTGATCCAACGGTGTTACCGAGGCGCACCTGCGCCCAAGTCTCCAGCAGTGATGGGGCCAGTTAGAGGCGTAAGATACGAAGAAAGCTCTGCAATTTCATTTTCTTTTCCATTTGTTTTTAAAAATCTCAGTTATTTCTTTCGAAAGGATTTCTTCCCAAGACCAAAAATACCAGGCTCATTTCACTTTCTGACATATCCGAACCGATTTTAATAAGCAAAATCATTATCGCATATTCGCTCTGTCAAAATTGAAAACAAAAAAATAGTTGAAAAAATAGCATGTAGAGAAGTCAACGAAGACTGCACAAATATTTAAAAAAAAAATTATGAATAACCTCGGTAC